ATCTAAATAAGTTCTTAATCATTTACTAACACTTTATAAATGATGTTATTAATCATCTACAACTCCTTAATAATTGGTTTGTAATATATATAATGCTTCATTTACAAATGGGGAATCCATCAATTATAAAGTGAAAACACAATCACAAAACACATAATAGACGAGCTTATTAATCAAGACTAAAACATTTATAACTGTTATGAATTGCATACTAATGCGTGTTAATGTAGGAACAATGCTTGATAAATGATAAATTAAGTGTTTACTCATACTTAACTAATGATTCATAGCGTGTAGTTATTATAGTGTTACCAGAAGGGCCTTTAGTTTTGGGGATGATATACCTCGGAGAAAACTTCTTATCTGAGTTCAATAGGCAGTTTGTCGAAGCCAGCCTTAGGAGGATTGAGCCAGTGATACAACAGCTATTGAAAAACAGTTTAATCAAAATTCATGAGAAGAGAAGGTCCAATGTAATTTATAAAGTCTTGGACAATGTGCCTGCTGTGTACAAACATTCATTCATGTGTTTGCAGCTTGGAGAGTGGGTGGAGTATGGGATTAGGTCGCCAACCCATCTAGAGGACATTCTATGTTGCCTCCCACCCTCAACATGAACATATACATGCATGCTCAACTTGCATCTAGTTCACACACACCAGGACAGTGATTTCTTTTCTTTTCTTTTTTTTTGCCATTTTCCCCTTTTTTGAACAGTTTGACAATGAAGAGGCAGGCTGGAAATATGTAAGAAGGGGTATGACATGTCGGGCTGATTAAAAGCACAGCAATAAATAAAACAGATAAGGCAAGCACGACACACTGGGAGTTCTCATTCCCCAAAATATGAAGGAAATCTGGGTGATTTTAAAATAACCTTATTTTCTCATTCAGATCTGCCGAGCCTGATTTCAGAGAACTGCACTCATTTTCAGCTGTTGATGTAATCTCACAATCTAGCCTCTGAAATAAAATTTACTTATCATTGTTTATTTTTAATGTTATCTCTTACAGAATACACACAATAAATACAACTAAAGAATAGCAGTAACAAATCAACTCACACTGACTTTTATCTGTAAGAGGCAACAAGGCAGTGACAAGCAAGAACACATCAACGGTTAGTCAAGTGTGTTCACATTTACCTAAAGCAAAACAAACAAACAAAACCCTCTGTCAGGCCATTGTAGATGCCCAGAGCTCATTGAATTGTGCAAATATGTTAAATATAGTTGAATCAGCATTTGCAAAGACTGACAATGGTGACTGTCAATGAAATCATCAACTGAATGTATTTATTTATCGTCTCAGTAAATACAGCACGTCACTATCAAAAGAAGACATAGCTCACAGTGTCCAGTGCTAAGACTTGAGTCAGTGGACAAAAAGCTTGAAATTAGACAGGTGACAGGGCCAGTTTTTAGTCTAGCACAAAGAAATGCTGAAGCTACCTTTTTACTATTTAATTTCCATGCTGCAGCACACAGGCTGCTGTTTTGCATACAGTTAGAGTGCAGCTCCGGAGGGCAACAACACACAGTACAGACAACAGTCTTAGCAGGCCTTTTAGGAAATGGTAACACTACATACCATATATCACACAGTATTAAGAGATTTATTATCAAAAGGCACATTTAATTACCTCATCTAAAGACATACACAAATTCATTTTGTAAATATTATGAACTGTTAATGATAATGTGATGTCGGAAGACCCATATACAGTGAGCTACAAAAAGAGACTTCCCCAGTGAGCTTTGAACAGCACTTTAAAGGAGCAACTGGGTTTATTTTTTATATTATTTACTGTCCATATTGTACTGAATGGCACAGCTGAAATATGGGACATACATTGGCTAAATACAGCAGTAAGGCAGGACAGAAGTGTGTTTATCCTACCGTACAGTTTGTACATGATCCTCCTGATGTTCTTGGAGTGACCTCTATTACTATTTGCATGATGGGGTTTAGTCTCGAGTTGCATTTGTATTTGCCATGCAGAGTCCAGTAAAATAAGATGCGTGCAGTTCATTATCTTCCGAAGCATGCACTGACTGTGCAGACAATTAGACATGGTTGTGGAGTTTTCTTTCAAAATGTGTTGTTCATTGGCAGAACTTTTCAATGGAAATAAAAGTAATACATCCATCAATCCCTCCGTTTTCTATACCACCCTTTTCAGTTCCGCCTATCCCAGCATGCACTGGGCCAGTGGCAAGGAACAACACATCAAGATGGAAAGTACCCTCATGTATTTGCAATCATGTAAAGAACACTGTCAACTGACAGCAAGTACTTAAATATGTGTGTGAATGGCCTTTGTGCGGTTTTTTAAAGCTTTGTAATCCCACCAAACAATTGCAACAGAAAGAGGCTAAAAAGAGAAAGGGCTGATTTACCTAGCAGTTAAGGCTGTGGCTCCTCTGTACTTGCTCCTGTTACTCAAACCGTGCCCTTTGTCCAGGGCCAGGGCTTGGTCCGGGGCTAAAATTTGCATGCCAAGGGCCACTTGAATACGAAGCTCTCCGGATTCTCACTACCTGAAATGCAAAACCAGTGGGGACCAGTTAAAATGACGCATGCGCACAATCAACACAGGTGTACATAAGTCAAAATACTGAGCCTCTCACCCCCCCCCTTCTCTAGAGATCCAAACCTTCCAACTCTTCCCAGAGAGTGTTATGGAAATTAGCACTGTGATTTTGCTGACATACTGTAGGTGCAGGTTGTTGACTGATGAGGCTTGGATGTAAGGATTGGAGGTAAGGTGATATCTAGATTGGTCCACACAACTAAAAGTGGTGGGGCTGCAAGGATCAGAGGTTGAGTGTGAGATATAAGATCAACAGAAGTAGAAGAAAAAGAGAACTAAGACGGATAGAATTCAAAGGATGCCGAGGTCTTTCCTTGTGAAAAAGAAACGTGGGGCATGTGGAGCATGGCAATGGAAAGAGCCAGAACAGCTTGAGTGGAAAGAAGATAATACACTAGGTAAGAATTAGAAGTATCTTCAGATAGCTTTTTCAACTGTCAAAGGTAAGCAGTAACATCCAAGTTAGTTTATTCCTCTTAAGCTGTCTCATGTATTTTTATATGTATGTATTTTTATGTAATTAATTTGACCTTGTTAATTCACTTATTAAGCAAACAATTGTTTCGTTTTATGCCCTAAAGTTAATGAAATTTCTATGGAGCAGACACCCTGCTGTCCTGACACCCAACAGCCTTCAACTGTGGCTCAGTCAGTCACCTTAGGATGTGGGACAGCAGGAATGAGAGTGTCAGTACCTTTGGCAGGATCAGGAGGACCAGGGGCTGACAACAGGCTGGACTGGTCCACAGTTATGCTCCGGGGCTCCGTATACCATCCCACTACACTGGGACTTCACAGAGCAAAGGTTATAGGTCCCATTTTCTTCTTAAGTGTAGTGTCATTCTTATAATATAGCAAGTTGACTGGGCTTCCATATGTATCAGAATATGCTCACCCTACCTACTTTTTTATTGTGTATTGATGAGTGTCATAACTGGCATAAGCTAGTGATGGCTGTGAATAGAGCAGCTAACACATTGGAAAGACAGCTGACTGGAGGAGATGGACTGGACAGGAAAATATGGGCTGGCAATCCATGGCCGGATGGCAAAAAGCCCGGCTATTGACCATGGGACGAAATTCCCAACAAGCAGGGAGAGCACTTCAGTGGAAGCCATAAAAGATAGAGGAAACACAACTGGAGATAGAGTTTAAATGAGTGTTAAGTCTAGCGCCAGGTTAGTAACCAAAGTTCACGAGGTTAACAACATCCCTGCTACTAAAAAGAAAGCAGGAAGTCTGAACGGCAGGAGAGAGGGGACAGTAGGCAGTCAAGGAAAGACAGGAGTGATGGGCAGACACCCAAAATATAATGGCCTAGGGCTAAAATGAAGGGCATATGGGCAACTGTTTATTCAGGTGCTTAAAGGGACAATTTAAAAATAAGTCAAAGAAGATGGGGGATTTAATCTAGGAATATGGCATGGATTTAGAGTAGGCAAATGGTAGTTTTAGAGGTAGTAAAGTCAAAGTGGTAACTGGAGATCGACTGACTCGTTGGGACAGTGAAGGCAACTCTGGAGGCAGTGGAGGAGGGCTACAAATAGCAAGACAGAGGACTTGAATCTGCTGCAGAATGACGTTAAAGCTAAATTGGCAATTTTAAAGAAAGCAGAAAGCCTTTAAAAAGAAAAAGAAAAAAGGAAGGAGCTATGGAAGCTGTTTTGCTAAGGCATTATTCAGTAAGGACTTGTGGAACTCTGAAAGAGGGTTTTAGAGGCTTACTAAGTAAAGCTGCATCCAGATGCAGGGACAGGGAGTTAGCGTCACCACTAAATAATTCACTATTGGGGTAAGAGGACATCTAACGGATGTTTCAGCACTCACTTTGAAAGAGGGTAATTGTGAAAGAAATGGTAATTTGGTGAGCAACGTCAGCATCAGCCGATCCTGTTGGGCATACCTTGGTCTGATGGTGTGCCGTAATTTAGTGTTGTGGCACAGAGATTGTCTAGTTAGAAAGGAATAAGCTAATCGACACCTCAGTGCAGAATGCCGGAATACCAGGATTTTGTGGATGCTTGGAGCACACCATGACATAGCATCAAATTCAGTCAGCAAAGTGGGAATGAAGAGGCTTGCATGTGGAATTCTTAGATAATAGCCAATACATTTTGTTCCGTTCCACGTAGTGTACTGTGGGGGGCAATAGAGTACTTGAAAGTATCAGACACAGTCAAAGGACAAATTCTGGAATATTTTTATTCAGACATTCAGATATGTTTCTAAACTACAAAGTTTAAACCTACAGCGGGACAGCAGTTGGATATAGGCATCACAATGCTACACAATGGGGCGACTGTGGCTCAGTGGTAGAGCAGGGTCATTTTTTAATCAGAGGATCTGCGGTTCGATCCCCGGTCCGCTAGTCCATGTCGATGAGCCACAGTCGCCCGCAGTAGGCTGTGTCTAGCTGCCGAGTTAAGGCAGCTTCAAACAATATAAGATCACAGTTAGAGAATGGTGTTGCCTGTCAGAGGGCACAGCCTGATATCCACTGCAGGGTGTAATAGGTCAAAGCGTAATAGGTCAAACATAATTTAATATAAATACTGGGCTTACATAGGAATGCTTGGCACATAGTGTGGATTGATAATTATTCAGACAAGAAATTGTTGTTTGTAAGTGAAAAATCCTGATGCTGATGCCTTACCCATATTGTCATATTCATCAAGCACTTTTGTTTTTCCAGCCCCGTCCCCGTTCCTCCCCCGGATCAGGTGACTTTGTGTGCTCAGTGTGCCACAAGATATTCCCTCTGCAGCGCATGCTGACTCGACACCTGAAGTGCCACAGCTTGGTGAAGAGACATCCTTGTCGATTTTGTGGCAAAGGATTCAACGATACCTTCGACCTCAAGAGGCATATGCGAACACACACAGGTCAGAAACTTCCATGAATTCATATTATAGATGGTAGCACCATGACTGTGTAAAAATGTGGCTACAATTCAGCAAACTGACCATGCACGGTCCAGCTATATATATTAGTTTAGACCTATAATGCATGCTATTTTTCCAACAATCATTAAAAAAATTAAGTTGGATATGTAAAGAAACAGCTGTCATGCTCTCCTCAAACCTACCGGCTCAATTGAAAAACACAGCAATTTTACATTGCAGATTGTTACTTCTTTCAAAGTCGACAAAAACAAAATAAAACTCCGTCTTGGTTAGTTTAGTCCAGGGGTATTCAATTAAAATTCCAAAAGGTCCAGATTGAGAAAATCTCCTCGGGCAAAGGTCTGGAACTTTCCAATAATATCTAACTTGCACTATTTAGTGCTATATATATATATATATATATATATATATATATATATATACTGTATATTCAAGAAGCCTAGTACTAGAAGCCTAGTACTAGTAACGTCTCTGTGTAGTCAACAACTGTCAAATCAAATAAAGAAAGTACTCATTAATTATATTTTAACAATTATTATTCTCAGTTTTCAAATTTAACTGGATGGATTAAAAACAATACATAGAAATATATAAGTAATTGTTCTTCTCATTTCAAGTAAAATAAGGGCTGGATTAAAGAATAACTGACATAACAGAAAGCTTTTGAAAAATGTGCATCTTAAAATAAAGTAATTCATTTTAGAAAAATTAATTTCACTGAATTGTCCTGCAGCTTTAAATTCAGTTCATTCAGGTGTGAAGTGATGTCAATCAAAAAAGACACAATATTATATTTTTCTCATCATCTAAAAAGAGAAAGTTGTGAGCATGGACTTTATCTGTGGTTTCTAAATCACTTGTTTCAGCTCTATCCTCTCTGTTAACATCATTGTTGTGAAGTGAATTCATTTGTTAGGATTCTGATCATATTGGGCTCTTAGGTTTATTTTCTGTGACTTCATTTCAGATGTGAGATGGTACGTTCGCTCAAAACAGTTGTGCTTTGTCTCGTAGTGGCGTTTCACATTACTGCTTTTAATAATCGTCACGGTCTCTGAACATATGAGACACACTGGTTTTAAACTGTCCGTGGGAAGAATTAACCTATAAGAGTCTGTTCATTCTTGGTTAAAGACTCTGGTCTCTCTGACCACTTTTCTCTCTTTGGAAAACGTCATGTGAAATAACTTCTCTGACTCACGTAATTATTCTCATTGGCCAAATCCCAATGTCCCCCCTTACGGACTCACGGACTTTGAGGCGCGCTCCCGCGAAGTCCATGAGGGTTTAGGGATGTCCCACTGTCAAATTGTCAAGTGTTTGAGGGCTCTCTTGCAGACATTTTGAGCCCTTTCCGTAAGTCAGCATGGTATGCTGACTTAGCCTTAGGGAATTACCCACAAATCATTGCAATGTGACGTTAAACACGGGGTAACCAGTGGACGCATGGAGACGTAAAAAAAAGGTAAACAAAGAGGACGGATCACGTGTGTTCAGCCTGGAATATTCCATTTACTCAGAAACATTAAGGGTTAAAGATGGAACAAAAAATAAACATGAAATCAGAGGATATTTATTTATTTATTCATCAAATATTTGATTTTGACATTGAAGCTGTTTTGACAAAAACGAATAAATAGATTATATGAAGTTACCTTATCTTGTGAGGAAAGAGCCTGAAGACATTCAAATCAGGGAGTACAAAGTATAAAACCGCTGCACCGCTGAACAAGTGCCATAAAGGCTGAAAAAGCTGCTCCGGTTAAAATAGAGGCGCTCTGTCAAAATTGAATAATTCTCAATTATCTATCGGTTTTAGGTCCTGGGTCCGGATACAACGACGTCTGGGTCCGGATCCGGACCGTGGTCCGCCTATTAGGGGCCCCTGTCAGTCCACTTCCAACAGTTGCTCACTGTAGGTTGGTCGAAATATAGCTTTAATGCAACTAGTTATTCTCTACACACTGTCCTTTCCCTGCCGCTGCCGGTGCACCGCCTCAGTCCTATTAATAGCTCAAATTAGAAGACTGTTGCTGCGCAACGAAAGTCGCAACAAACTTCTGAATTAGGTCTCGGAGATCTAATATGAGTGAAGATTCAGCAACTGGATTGACAATTTCGTACCTATAATTTGCTCAGAAATTTTGGCAGACAGCTGAGGTGAAATAACTTAAAGTTTACTTGCAAATTTGCCGTTTCAATTATGTGGACAGGAAATGCATAGTGCGCATAGGATTTAGGGTGTTTTAGAAGCGTGGAGGATACACATATGCATTCTTCAAAATCCTCGAAATGAAGGACTCGTTTGAATGATCCTGGACATTGGAACAGTCCTTTGTCAGGATTCGATGACGTAGCATCCTTGGAATTCAGTTGTAGAAGGATCCTTCCTTGACATTGAGAAACACCCTGCGATCCACACAAACATGCACAGGAAAAAAAACTTGTTTTGTCTCTCCCTGCTGCAGGTATCCGTCCCTACAAGTGTGACCTATGTGAGAAAGCCTTCACACAGCGCTGCTCTTTGGAGTCCCATATGAGGAAGATTCACAGCGTTCACCAACAGTATGCCTACCGCCAAAGACGCTCTAAGATCTTTGTGTGTGAGGATTGTGGTTACACCTCAAGCCGCCCTGATGAGTACTTCCTCCATGTGAGACAGTGCCACCCCGGCAGTCCTGCCCTCCGCAGGTACTACCGCCGCCAGGCCCATGAGAACAGCAGCTTTGCTCCAGCAGGCAGAAAACTCAACCCCTATTTGTTGTACTCAACCCCTGCATACTACATGTAGGGCTCTTTCCAATTTTGAACTACATCTGTTCCATAAAAAAGAAAAGACCATTTGTTAATTTTAATTAATTTTTGAATTTGTATTCAACTGTGTTCCACTTTTTTTTTGTCTTCATTCATCAGTTTGTGTTGTTAACGATAGCTTTAAATGCAAAATACTTTTCCTGCACTATGTTTGCTGTTATAATTAAAATGAAGGATCAAAAATAATTCTTTATATTTTCATTGTGTTATTAACATATTCAATATTTTTGTTCAACCTTTCTAACCCTAGCCCTATTTTTAGACCTCTGCTCGAAAATTGCATACCCATACTAAAAAGAATGTATTTCTGCAACTACAAGGTCTATTTCAATAATTTTCATGTTATAATAAAGGTAACACTTGTGAGATTTGTTCAGATGTGTAAATATCAGTCTATATGTTACTGGTTAAGAGTAAATGAAGATGGCACACAGCTCAAATTGAAAAGTTTCAGGTTCGCCTGAAAAAAAAAGCACTGAAAGCATGGTTATCTCTTTTGAATGATGCTAACGAAAGTTTAAAACTCTCCCAAATCATAGCACAACATGTGAACAGTCTCTCTGCAAATCTTGACTTTGATAAAGTGAAGCAGAACAAAATTAGAGAGGTTTTAGTACAGATGTGAGGCGAGGTCACGAAATTGTCATTTTGGAACCAGCTGTTCCATTGTCATTTTATATACTGTATAACTATATATTTCACTTGTTTTATCACTAATAGTGTTCAATCTAGCCAAATACAGCAGTTTGGCTTCATTTTGAGAGCCTGAATCCTATCTGAGCCCTGTTTTGTGTCTGTGATCCATGGAACTGTCTCATCTGACTGCAGTTTCTCTGTGTCTGTGGAGACCTACCTCAGCAGCCCATTGGTTGATTTCAGTGACTGAACCCTCCTTCGACGCGTCAGAGTAAATAGAATTGAGCCGGGATAACATGGTATTGATTGACAGAATGGTTAGCCAGTCAGAATCAAGACCACGCCGTCCCTCGCGAAGCGTAAAATCCGATACGCCGAAAGTAAAATCCCTACCCCCAGCTCCCCTAAACTAGATTGACCCCCCTTTCTTCAAGGAAACAGTTCAATGACAAACAGGATATATGTCGAACACATATTTGAATGGAAATAACCGGGAATTTATCTGTTCTCTTCACGAAATCAGCTCACGGTATGGTGCATTTATGATTATTATTGATAAAGCGATTTGTGGTTCTGGTGCTTGTTTGCTCATAGCTCTGTAATGGTTTCACAGAAAGAAATTCTGAAGATATCTCTAGAATCTGTGTCGAATTCTCGTGCTTTCTGATGTATTTGTTGTCCGTGTTAGCTTTTAGCTTTGTGTTCGTAGCTTTGTCCGGAGTGCGTAGCTCGCCGAGTCATGGCGAAAAATACGTGATATTGTGGTACATCTTCTCGTTGATTATATTTCAATCAGGAGAGACAAGTAAATGATTAGTAGTTATTAACATTTATTATGACAGATGAAGCGTTCATCAGTTACACGGAAATTGTTTGGCGCTTGAACTCGACAAGGAGATTTGTGATCGTGTTGTGATTGCCCTGAGCGGCAACAATATATATAAATCCCCCCGAGGAGTCCAGACACTAGCTATGTCCCAATTCAGGGTCTGCATCCTTCGGAGGACCCAGTCTTCGCGGTCTACGTGGGCCGCATCCTTTGAGGACCGTGCGGTCTATGGAATGAGAAGGCCTACGCTACAGAGGACTTCCTGTTTGCGTCAACAGCTGTTCCCGCCCCGCCCCCCTCTTGCTGCTCCCATCGCCTAGAATCCCTTTTCAGCAGGATTATATACAGTTGTGTGAAAAAGTGTTTGCCCCCTTCCTGATTTCTTATTTT